AGCTGAAGAAGGGTCTAGGCCCAAAACATCAGCTTTCCTGCTCCTCTGATGCTGCTTGGACTGCTGTGTTCATCCAGCTCTACACCTTGTTATCTCAGATTCTCCAGCATCTGCAGTTCCTACTATCTTGTTCCTATGCTATACTGTTTTATGTTCTATCCCAGTACGAGCTGCTAAATTGCGGTGCTGGGAGAGGACTAGGAAGGATAATGGAATCCTCTATTGGCTGGTTCATGACAAGGACATAGAGGTGAGGCAGCTCATCCTTCCCAACAGCTTCAAGTGTCAAGTGTTGGTAGCAGTTCATGACCAAGCAGAACACCAACTGTTGGTAAAGGGATGCTAGCTGATATTGATGACTACTGTTGAAATTGAGAGGTGTACTCAGGCAAAAACAGGGAAGCAATTTCACCCCAGCATGGGGTCACTGAGACCTCCAGCTGTCCTTGCCATGGATTTTGCATTCAGTGACCTGAGCAGTAACAGAACTGAACACCATTCTTGTACTCACTAATGTCTTCGCCAAGTTCAAAAGGGTATTTGCATGTGAGACCAAAGGCCTTATCTCTAGCAGGGGCATTAGTATGTGTTTTTTTGCCTGTTTTGGAGTTCCATTTTGGATTCACACTGGGCATGCAGCTTTGAAAGCAAGATCCACAAGGAAATGGACAGTGAACCACACTCTACGAGACCGTCTGCTCACCTTGCTTCCCGAGTGTGAACAAAATGGCCTGGATACCTTGTGTGGGTGGTTTATGCTTATAATTGCACCCCACACTCATCTACAAGCTATTCTCAACATATCTCTTCTTTGGACAAGACTCAATCCCTCCCATGGACTATCTCATTGAGCTTATCACACCAATAATCTATACCAGGTGTTCTATAACAAGCTGACATTCGAGAGGACTGAGAAGAAAATCGTCAAATGATCACAAGGCTGACAGAGTTCACCTTCTGATCAGCAGAGGATATTTTGCCAAAATTTGGAATATCTGGAATTGGAATAAAATATAGAATGTCTAGAACCCTGAATCCCATACAGACTTTAAATGACTGAATACAGGTTACCATACCTGTGTTGAACCGATAGGTAGCTGGAAGGCAATCTCAAACAATTTAGAGAGAAGTTGCTCAAGTCCAGGAATCTGGTAGAATGTAGAGGCAAGCAGCTCTTTCAGCATCCATGCAGAACCTGAAGTGTTGGTGCATGATAGCTTGAGTGAATTGAGCAAGGTAGTGATGAGTAATTCAGCTGTTGCCTGGGCGCTGTGAATCCAAAAAGTGCATCCAGCTGGGGAAGCTTACTCCCATTCTGGAAAATGGCGTAGGGATATCCTGCCGGAAGGTAGAATTTGAAACAACAGTTGCTGATCATACAACTGTTGGAGATCTGGCCAACCTGAACCCCAGTGTGGGTGATCCAGTACAGAGCCTGGATCCCTTGGAAGGTACCAGTACTGATAAGGGGCTGAGTAGGTCATGTTGAGAAAATGCTGGAATTTACCCCAACCCTTAGTATTTATGCGGATTGATGCATGAGAGAAAGCTGCCACTAATGTGCACACACACATTCTAGTAATCATGGTGCAGTTGAACCTGCTAATCTCACAAATGTTTCACAAATGGTCACTGTGCTATACGTAGTTGCCAGGACAGCAAATCTCAAGCAGCAATGTATAATATCCAACTTTTAGCAGCAGGTGACAATGGTAAGGGAGGCCACTGAATACAGCAGCTGGAGCAGTTATGTTAGACCTCCAGTAGCAGGTGGCAATAGTGAGGGAATATGCTGATCAGAGTAGTTGGAGTAGTTGAACGGACCCTCTCTGAAGAGTGCCTTGAGGGAAGGAGATCTCATGGGTAGAAGGATCAGACAGAAAAGGATTTCCTCCACAACATGTAGTCTACAAGTGTAATCATACTGTGTCTTCCATTTTAACCTTAGTTTCCCTTCATGTTTGTAATGACCTGATGCCAATGGAAGAAAGAATCCCTGCTTCATGATCTTTGGGTGGTCCAAGTGTTTAAATCTCATGTTACATCCAGCTTTGTGATTGCTTGTGGAATAGTGAGGCTGCATTATTGGCACACTCTCAATTGAATTATGAGAACGTGTAGTCTTGCAGCTTCTGTACAGGTCAAAGGGAGACTGTTAGTGGTCATGTCATTGAGCTAGGAAGCGGGAGGTTCAAGCAAGAATGCAAATCCAAACTAAGCAATTTGTGAAATTTTAAATTTAATTAATTAATAAAAATTTGGAATAAAAATCTCGTCTCAAACAGTGACTATGAAACTAGTGAAATTAGTTCACTAGTCTTCTTTCTCGGTCTGGCCTATACATGTCTTCAAATCCACAGCATTGCAGTTGACTTTCAACTTTCCACTGAAATGGCCTAGTAATGCACTCTGTTCAAGGAGGATGTGCAACAAATGCTAGCTTTGCCAGTGACGCGCACATCCCATGAAAGTTATTTAAAAATATGACATTTAGTTTTTCTGTTTGCTGCTTAAAAGAAAACTGTTTCTTTCTGGACAGGTGTAGTATTCTGTATGGACTTTGCAGCATTTTGTTCTGTATTTTGCTTCTGTTTTGTGTGAGAAGAAAATTAAGGTTGTATTTCCAAGAATGTCATAATGGTAATGCTGTTGGATGAGTGACCTAGAACTCTAGACTAATATTCTAGGGTTAAGAGTTCAAATCCTGCTGTGGCAGATGTTGAAATTTTAATTCAATAAAAATTTGGAATAAGTAAAAACTAGCCTATTGGCAACCACTATTGATTGTTGTAAAAATCCATCTGGTTCACTGATGTTCTTTTTAAGGAAGTACCTGATCCAGCCTACATATGACTCCAGACCCACCACAATGTGGTTGACTCTTAATTGACCTCTGGGCAAAAGGGGGAAGGCCAGTAAATGCTAGTGCAGCCAGCAATGCCAACTTCACATGAACAAATAAATAAACTACTACTCAAAGGAAAGATACTGGAACAATCAACTACATTGAAGTAGTTCTCATAATCATTTGAGATTGATTGTCATTAGATCAACAAGACAACAAAATAGTTACCTTTTGAAATTCATGTTGGTCATACTACTTTTCAAATTATGTGAATAAATATTCCTTTTCATGTCCTGCAGGTTAGTTCACTATGAAGGTGGTGCAGTGTGCAGCCATGCAAGATCCTTGTGGAGGTTGGAGCCATTGCGCATCAGGTAAAGAGATTAGACCTGGTTCACCGAAATGACAATATAGGTTCCACATCATTTCGGGGGGAGTGGAAAAGAAATCTAAACTAGTTAAAGTGCGTATAATTAGAGAGTTAGGAAAGAGTAGTGATGTTAAGCAGAAGCAGAAGAGATATTTAGAACTGTATGACTCAAATGAGTTTTTTTTTGAAGCCTTTCAAGTTTAATTTTGCTGATTGTAGAGGATATGCTATCTGAATTAGTTTGGAAACTTTTACTTTTTTTTATATCAATAGCTAATAAACTCAAATAGTGGCAGTGTGAAAGTTCATTTGAGACTGTAGTACATATTGCACTTAAAGCTGGCAATGTGTTAACTGTATCATACCTTTTGACCAATAAGACTATTGAGCCAATTATTGCATTACTGAGAGTTGAGTTGGCTGGATGGCTGATTTGTGATGCAGAGTGATACCAGCAGTGTGTGTTCAGTTTCATACTGGCTGAGGTCACGATGAAGGTTCTGCTTTCTCAGACTTGCCCCACCCGCCCCTGAGGTGTAATGACCCTTGGGTTAAACTTCCCACTAGTTGTCTCTTTCTAATCAGAAAGAGCCCCTGTGGTTCTCTGGCACAATGGTGACTACTACTAGTAACAGCAGAAAACTCCATTAACTGCAGATTGTTTCACTGTTGCACATGTCATCTGTTTTTCTAAATGGCCAACTGTTAAGTTAAATAAAATACAAACTAAATGCGGGTGAAGTCTCTTCCATTAAAGTAGAAGTCCAGTTTTAAATTATTGTGACAAGTATGTACATTTACCAAGAGCACACTTAAATGTCTAATAATGCTGAATTAGCATCCTAGTTAGAAATCCAGTGACAGTACACTTAAACTTGAATTGTGAATCTGCAACTATTTTACCAGTGTCTTATGAAATGTGTTCCTTGTTTAAATGTTACCGCAAGTGTTTTTCTGCTTGGTACATTCTGTTCTTATTGTTATTAGTACTTGGGAATCAAACAGTCCTCAAGTCATAATGTATCTTCTAAAGTGTAGCATAAAATGCAATACTGTATGGAAAATCTAAATGCTGGGACCTGGTGGCTGGTTATTAGTCCATAAATTGTATATTTTGTTTCCTTTAAGTCACTGTACGAGAGATGTTAATTGATCTTTTACTCAACAGCTGGAGTGGTGGCCATATGAAGTGGGGTCAGCCTTTCCGCATTCGGCATGTTACAACAGGCAAATACTTGGGCCTGGATGAGGAGAAAGGGCTTCTACTTTTTGATCAAGATGAATCAAACACCAAAATCACCTCATTTTGCTTTCGTATATCAAAGGTGAGAGAAAATTTGGGGGCTGTAGTGAGTGTTGGGGAAGTAAGTTGTTTTCAGAATTCTAATATATTTCAAGCTTCCTGCACAGACAGAAAATTGGCATGGCATTAAGCTGTCCTCCTCCACCTGCAGTCTGGCAGCTACATAATTAATAAGGATTGGTACCTCCTGATTACATGATTGTGTGACAAAAGAAAAAAATTTTAGCCACTGGTGTTAGGAAGGAGGAGAAAAATCAGTCATTGGTGCTGCTCCTCATTGTCATTACCTGAACATTTATGTCTAATGTGTGATGATCAAAGACGATCAAACTTGAAATAGAGTCTAACACAGTGTAGAGCTGGAGGAACACAGCAGGCCAGGCAGCATCAGAGGAGTAGGAAAGTCGACGTTTTGGGTCGGGACCCTTCTTCAGAACTGAGCAGGGGAAAGTGAACTGGGAAATAGAGGGAGGAGGGGTTGCTGGGGAAAGATAGATGGGATGGTGATAGGTGGATGCAGTTAGGGGGTGGTGGGGATTGGTTGGTGGGAAGGGTGGGGCGGATAGGTGGGAGAGAAAATGGACAGGTTGTGTCAGGTCAAGGAAGCATTTATGAGACAGAGGTTTGGATGTGGGATGAGGCTGGGGCTGGAGATTTTAAAACTGGTTCAAGCCATTGGGCTGTAGGCTTCTGAGGCGGAATATGAGGTGTTGCTCCTCCAGTTTGCATGTGGCATCATTGTGGCATTGGAGAAGGCCCAGGATGGACATGTCATCAAGGGAGTGGGGGGAGGGGGAGCTAAAATGGTTAGCGACTGGAAGGTGTTGTCATTTATAGCGTACAGAGTGCAGATACTCCACAAAACGGTCTCCGAGTCTGTGCTTGGTCTCACTGATGTAGAGGAGGCCACATCAGGAGCAACGGATACGGTAGACCAGGTTGGAGGATGTACAAGTGAACCCCTGTCAGATATGGAAAGTTTGCTGTAGGCCTTGGATGGAGGTGAGTGTGGAGGTGTGAGGGCAGGTGTAGCACTTCCTGTGGTTGCAGGGAAAGGTGCTGGGTGTGGTGGGGTTAGTGGGGAGTGTGGAGTGGATGAGGGAGTCTGGGAGTGAGTGGTCCCTAAGAAATGCAGATAGGAAATATCTCTAGTTGTGGGGTTGGTTTGTATGTGGTGGAAGTAGTGGAGGATGATATGCACGAGGCAGAGGTTGGTGGGGTGGTATGTGAGGACCGGGGGACTCTGTTTTTATTTTTGTTGTGGGCAGGGGATTTGAGGGCAGAAGTGCGAGAAATGCAAGCGATGTGGTTGAGGGCATTTTTGATCACTGGAGGGAGAAAGTTGCGGTCCTTGAAATAGGAAGACATCTGGGATGTCTGGGAATGGAATGCTCCAAATTGGTAGCAGATGCAGCGGAGGTGGAGGAATTGGTAGTATGGGAGCGCAATTTTGCAGGAGGTTGGATGAGACGAGGTGTAGTCCAGGTAGATGTGGGAATTGGTGTGTTTGAAATAGATGTTGGTGTTGAGGCGATTGAAGGAGTCTGAAGAGAGATTAGACAGGTTAAATGAGTGGGTGAACACTTGACAGATAGAACATAACATGGGAAAATGTGAGGTTATGCACTTTGGCAGGATGGTTAGAAGAGCTGGATATTATTTAAATGAGGAAAGACTGCAGAAAGCTGCAACACTGAGGAGATTGTGGTCCTCCTGCATGAATGACGAAAAGGTAGCATCCAAGTTCAGCTGCTACTAGGGAAAGCTTTTATTTCAAAGGGAATGGAGCATAAAAATAGGATAGCTTGCTAAAAGTATTTAAGGCACTAGTCATACCACAGCTGGAATACTGTGAACATTTTTGGACCCCTTAACTAAGGAAATATGTACTGATATTGGAGGCAGTCCAGGCAAAGTTGACTAGGCTGATACTAGGTATGGAGAGATTTTCTTATGAGGTAAGTTGAGCAGGTTGCACTCATTGGAATTTAGAAGAATGAGAGGCAAATTTATTGAAACATATAGATTCTTGGAGGGCTTGGCAGGGTAGATGTGGAGAGAAAACATTTTAACTCTATTTTCTCCCGACGGATGCTGCCAGATTTGCTGAGTTTCTCCAGCAATTTCTTTTTATTTCAGATCTCCAGCATCTGGAGTTTTTTTGTCTTAATTTAGATGCAGAGAGATTGTTTCCCCTTGTGGGAGAGTTTAGGACTGGGGACATAGCCTCAGAATATGGAGTTGCCTATTAAAAACAGAAATGTGCAACTCTTTTTCTGAAGGTGGGGCATCTGTAGGATTCTTAACAACCAATCTCAACTGCCCTTGGTGTAAGGGTTGAGATAGAAAAGATCCTTAATCAATAAGGGATCAGGTTTCATGGGATAAGGCAGGAAAATAGAGTTGGGAATTGTCAGGTCAACCATAATCCTGCTGAATGGCAGAGCGGACTTGATTGGCTTACTTCTGTTCCTTTATCTTACGGTCTAACTGCTAAGAATGTAAGTGATTTTTAGAAATATCTATGAATGTTTTAATGCTTCCTCTGATAGGTTTTGTATTCAGGTTGTAGGAGGCTGTATTCTCACCTTCTGAATATTGTCCTTCTGGTTATACTTTACCCTCTCAAAGCCAAAACCCTAGCTCTCAACTGTCTTTGTTCTTGGTTTTACATTTATACAGAGCGTGATATATCTATGCACAATGCTCCTTCTGCCTCTGTTTATATGCAATAACAATACACTGACACTTTTCATGAAAATTGTACAAAAAACTATATTTCCTTTCTGCCCCCAAAAGCCACTGTCAGGGACACAAATAAAAGAACATTTGATCATCTCTTTCCAAGTTGACACCAATACATAAATTACAATACGTATCATGTTGAACTGGGACTGAACACAAACTTTGTGCTTCCTTAGGATAAAATTGATGTTGCTCATAAAAGAGATGTAGAAGGCATGGGAATCCCTGAGATCAAGTATGGTGAGTCAATGTGCTTCGTCCAACATGTGAACAGTGGACTTTGGTTGACTTATGCCGCGGCTGATACCAAAACTGTCCGTTTGGGACCCTTGAAGAGGAAAGTAAGTAATGCTTTTGTCAGTTGGTAACTGGAGATGAAATAAGATTATAATTTCAAGAATACAAAACAAAGCTACAAACTCCATTCCATTGCTCTGACTCCATCCCTCTCCCTGGTGACAGTCTGAGATTTAAGTCAAGTTATGCAACATTGATCCCACCTTTGATCCTGGTATAAGCTGCTGATTTCTCAATCATATCATCACTAGGATGTCCTATTTATTCCTCTGTGATGTCACCTGATTTTGCCCCTTTCTCAACCTATCTGTTATTGACCCCCCCCTTCCCAATTTTGCCTTTGTTACATTTTAGACTTGACCATTCCAAAGCACTCCTGGCTGGTCTCCCACCTTAAAACACTGGACTACTTCCATTTAGAATGAACGAGCTTCTGATCATGTACCATTGCCGTACTTTCTTTCATAACGTATCTGTGAAGCATTTTGGGCCATTTTAGTATGTGATAAGTAGTATAAAAATAGAATTTAGTTTTTAACCAGAAATTATTTCTGTATCATAGAATGTGGACAGGCTGTTTGATGTTTTAGGTTTAATAAGTTGAGTTGTTTGCTTGCCATTGACACATGGCCTCAGTTCTGCTTTTCTTCGACCCAGTCTGGCTAGCAGTCCCCTGTCTGGGAGCAACTATGAATTTGACTTCCTAAGTATTCCCAAATATCTAATATACATAATATATTGTGAATTTATAAATGTACTGACCTTATATTTTCATATCCAGAGTAACTGTATGCATATGTCTATTTGAGAAGCAAATAATTAGATCAAAAGAATATGTGAATGTACCAAATGGCAATAAGTCTGATTTGGAAATAAATTGGCTTTTCCATATTCTGCAATGTTTAACATTTTGAAAGATGCAGAATATAATAAATAAATGTATTGTCATGGCAAAGTCCTGTTATATGCCTCACTTGAAATTGAATTCTACTAACATCAATTTTTAAAAAAATTATCCTTTCATGGGTTGTCAGCACCATAGACAAGGCCAATGTTTATTGTTCATTCCTAATTGCCCTTGAAGTGAGTGGCTTGCTAAGCCATTTCAGAACTCAATTAAGAATCAACCGCATTGCTGTGGGTCTGGAGTCACCTGTACTTCAGACCAGGTAAAGATGGTAGATTTCCTCCCCTAAAGGACATTAACGAACCAGATGGGTTATACAACAGTCAGTGATTTGTTTCACAGTTACCATTCCTGACACACAGCTTCTTTTTAAACTTGTCTTCTTTTAAAAAATAATTGAATGGAATTGAAAATCAGATTGGAGCAGATACTTTTGAATCATCCTGTTCAGAGTTAGGTTCTCTGAAGCAGGTGGGGCTTCAACCTGGGTCTCCTGGCTCAAAAGTATGGACACTACTACTGCACCATGGGAACCCTGTCAGACAGGAGCTTAGTAGGTGGCTAAGTTAGAAATTAGAATTTAAAAATTAGAATCCATACAGTCTGAAGGCAGGCCATTTGGCCCATCAAGTATACACCGGCCCTCTGAAGAGTATCCCACCCAGACCCACTCCTTATCCTATCCCTGCATTTCCCATCCTAGACAGTATGGGCAATTTAGCATAGCCAATCCACCTCACCTGAACATCTTTAGACTGTGGGAAAACCCATACAGACACAGGTAGAATGTGCAAACTCCACACAGTTGCCCAAGTTTGGGATTGAACCCAGGTCCCTGGCACTGTGAGGCAGCATTGCTAACCACTGAGCCACCATGCTGCCCCTTTAAAGCCAACTGCAACCTGCAAAGTCCAAAAGAAAATGTTGTTGGGGATTAAGGTGGATCTCTCACTCGTAAAATTAATATTTTTTCAAAAAAACTGTCCTTAGGCTATACTACACCAAGAAGGGCACATGGACGATGCACTTTCACTATCTCGCTCACAACAAGAGGAATCACAGGCCTCCCGAATAATCTTCAGTACAAATGGTCTCTTCAACCAATTCATTAAGTACGTGTATTTTAATTATTGTCTTCGGGGGGGAAGGGTTGCACAGGTTAACTCATTGGAGGTTAGAAGAATGAAGGGTGATCATTTTGAATGTGTCAAATTCTAAGGGAATTTGACATAGTGAATGCTACGAAGATATTTCTTCTTGTGGGGTTGATGAGGTGAGTTGAGAACTTAAGGAGCACAGTTTAAAATGGAGATGAGAGAGAATTTTTTTCTGAGGTCACTAGACTTTGGAATTCTCTGCTCCAGGGAGTATTGGAGGCTAGATCATTGAATATGTTCAAGTCTGCGTTGGGTAGATTATTGGTCAGCAAGAGAGTCCAGGTTTTGTAGAAAGACGGGAAAATAAGGTTAAGTAGGTTGAGCAAGTTCGAGGGGTGAAATGGCCTACTTATGCTTCTTTAGACTTTATTTTATTTTCATCTTTTAAAATTTCATTCATGGATGCTGTCTTTTTAGCTGTATGTGGTACAATTAACAACTGTAGAAAGTCCTTTATGTTAAGAAACATTTGTAATACTAACAAAAAAAAAATGACAAGGACGTTCAGAATTTATGGACAGAACACAGGTTCTGGTGGAGGGTCGCTGATGTGAACTATTAACTCTGTCTTGAAAGATGCAGTCAAATCCACTGAATATTTTCAGAATTTTGGTTTTATTTTAAAATAATGAATGTTTTGGACCCAAATTGTTAATTTGTATATTTTCTCCACAGACACTGACCTACTATCTGTTTACAATATTTCCCCAGTTCTGAGGAAGGGTCACCAGACCTGAAATGTTAATTCTGTTTTTTCCTTCACAGATGCTGCCAGACCTGCTGAGCTTTTCCAGCAACTTTGTTTTTGTTCCGGATTTACAGCACCTGCAGTTCTTTCGGCTTTTATTTACAGTGTTTCTGTCGTTTAGAACAATGCTGACGTCTAATTGGAGCATTCACCTGCGATTATATTTCAGTTCTGGTTGGACGTACTGGCATTGTTTACATATATAGGCTGTAAAATAACAACAAAATCTCCTAATAATATCAAAGCTAAGTTATACTTAATGAATTAGCATTATTAAGTTTAAAAGCTCATTGCAAGTAACTGAAATTGCAACTATAAATGTTCAACAAGCAATATAATTGGCTCAGAGATAGTAGGAACTGCAGATGCTGGAGAATCTGAGATAACAAGGTGTAGAGCTGGATGAACACAGCAGGCCAAGCAGCATCATAGGAGCAGGAAGGCTGACGTTTTGGGCCCAGACCCTTCATCAGAAATGGGGGAGGGGAAGGGGGTATCAGAGATAGTAGGAACTGCAGATGCTGCAGAATCTGAGATAACAAGGTGTAGAGCTGGATGAACATAATTGATAATAATATGAATATAATTGGCTGTTGAATACTTGGAACTGTGCATCTTTGAATTATTTTTTCATGTTCATGATACTTTTTTATATTTTTAATGAAGAGGCCTAGATATGCTAAGTGGGAAGAATAAATCTTCAGCTCCAGTGACGCTACCAATTGATACGATAGTGCTAAGCCTTCAAGACTTGATCAGCTACTTCCAACACCCAGAGGAGGAGCTTGCACATGAAGAAAAGCAAACTAAATTGCGCTCGCTGAAAAACAGACAGAATTTATTCCAGGAAGAGGTAAGTTAATAAAATCTTGGAACAGGAAGAAGCTATGTGAGTGAATGTGGTATAGAATGTTAGCCAAAAGGAACAATACCTAATTGAGAGCTCACTTTGCACCATGTGAAATCAGTAGAAGATAAATCAAGTGAAAACTATTTCCAGCTCCACTGTTTATATACTAGTAAAACCATTTGCCATGTTTTTGAAGTATTGACAATATCTGGATATTAAATTATTAATAAAGCTCAAAATAGTACTCCACCTGATCATGAAATCAGCATCTATTCTCCTTCCTGGTTTAAATTTTAGCTTAATGGATAAGGACTAATGCTAACTATTTTATTTGGTTAATAGCAGTTGAATTTTTATTCTGTTCACTTGGATTAATTATTAGTCCAGTTACGGACAAGGGTAAGAGTAGAGACCAGAGGGGTGACAGTCAGCTTCAACTGCAGATGTTGGAGAAATACATAAATGGGATCATAACAGATCATCTGTCACTTTTACACTGTTTTGTTTTCCTTACAATTGACTGCCAAAGTTGAATTTTATCTTCAATGTCAGTGATGACACCGGAAAATTATAAGCATGTGAAAATCAAAAAGGTTGGATGGTTAATGGGATATACCAGAACAAAGAGAAGAAAGTCGTAAAAGTCTTAAGGTAGGCTCATTAGCAGCCATTTCCAAGGCTGAAGAGGCAAGAATTAGGGAGCAATGGGAATGCGAATCTGAATTTTAAGGCAGTGATTGACTGCTTCTGTCACTAGTTGAGTACTATGGAGTTTAGAAATAGTAAATGTCCATAGAACAAATAGAACAGCTGTTTTTCATAGGTTACTGAGCCAGATCCAGGTGGGTGTGTCCAGATACTGTATTTATCATCATTGTGATTGTGCGGAATTAACTCCACTGGCCAATGATAAATCTGACATTCCTCCTTTCGTACAGTATGATGACATGTTATGTAGAAGTAGTATTTGGTGTTTTAAATATCTTTCAAACCTTTGCACATCCCTGTACCTTTTGGCTTTCCTGGCCCAACCTACATTTAGAATTGTGATCTCTGTCTGCCAAATCAATCTCTAGTGGCTTCTGATTAGTGTTGATATGTGAAGGTGCTAATGGGAGGACAAGAGTTGCTTTAATTCAGCTGAACCTGACAGACATTCTTCTGGTGGTTCCCTTTCTTCTGTGTACCCCTGATCACAGAATTATGTAGTGTAGTAGGATACCATTTGGCCCATCGTGTCTGCACCAGCTGCCCAAGTAAGCAGTCCCTCTTGTACCACCCTCACATTCTCTCAGTAGTCCTTACAAGTTCTTCTTTGAAGTCTCAATATGAGAATTAACATTTGGAAATTCTTGGCATTAATGATGCTGCAACAACCATGTAATTAATACAAATGTTTATGGGAATGCAAGCGTCAGGACAGAAGAAAAGAGGAATGATAGTTCAGAAATGTTTAGAAGTTCCGTATTATAGTTCAAATAAAGGCAAAATACTAGAGACTAATACCAGACTCCATGTTAACTCTTTCTTTCTCTACCGATGCTGCCAGACCCTGCTGAATTTCATCAGCATTCTCTGTGTTTGTTCCACATTATCATTCATTTTGGCTTTAAATTTGTCTTCAGTGTACTTCCCTGAGCTTGGCAATGTTGGATGCAATCATATTGGTGTCCTGCAAAATGGTACAGACCTGAGGCATAGGGAAGAATAGGAACAGTGATCTCAAAACAATGAAGTTATTACAAAACCGCTGCCTGTTTGAGGCAGGAGCTTCCACTGCCTTTACATTTTGGCTGTCAGCAATCTGGTGTGGCAGACCTTCACCTGTTTTTGACTTGATGTAACACCTTTAAAGTGTGTATTCCATGTATCATGGACAAGATGATCAGAACCAGATCCTGATCAATTCTTTAAGGAAACAGTAACTGCATTGCTGAAGCGACAGTCTTTGAGTTAATATAACAACATGTAGCAATTACTGCTAATTGTGCACTGTTTGTTCCAGGGCATGATCCAGCTGGTATTGGATTCCATTGACCGACTGAATATGTATAACAGTGCAGCTCATTTCTCAGAGTTTGCAGGAGAAGAAGCAGCTGAGTCCTGGAAAGAAATTGTTAACCTCTATTATGAACTGCTGGGTATGGAACCTAAACAATGTATAAATGAAAAGATAGCAAAACCAAGTTGTTGCTGTATTCCACTGATATAATCACTATTGCATTTGGTGATGTTATCTAGTAGAAGTAAATTCCTGACCTAATTGTACCTCTTTTTAATAAATGATGATGGTTATCGATTCCTTTTTTCTTCTAAGATTTCTTAAGAGTCAATTATTAATTTTCATCATTCTGTCAAATTTATCTTTTTTTTATATTAAGTCCTTGGCTACTAGTTAAAGTCATATGTTGACTAGTATCCTTGTTATTTGCTATCCCTCAAACAACAAACAAATTGCCTGCTTATTTTCATCATTGCTGATTGTAGATCTCTGCTGTTTACAAATTGGTTGGGACTGTTTACTGAATTACAACAGTTGGTATACTTCGGAAGTATATGTATTGCCTGTAATGTCCTGAAGTTACAATAGTTTCTTGTTATAATTGTAAGTTCTTAACTTATCTCTTCCATTCTCCACCCAGCTCCTGCTTATTCAGTTACAAAAGCTGCCAACCATAAGTAATTTTCTTCACTCCTGCAGTGTCACTTTCAAGGTCACCTTTTTCAGCTCTCTCCCATTTAAAAGCTGATTTTTGCATCATATTCATCCTCTCCAGGTCCTTGCTACTGCTCAAATATCCTTTGAATCCTACCAGTTTTATGGACACCTTTGGTCAAAGCTCTGTCTTTGGATCTGTCTAGTTTTCATTTTGCTCTTACTACCACATTGACCCTAGACAAAATTACAAATACATTATCTGTAATTGGCGCAATGACTTTTTAAAAATTCTTTGTCCACAGGATGTAGACTTTTCTGACTAGGCCAGCATTTATTACCCTGATTTGCCCTTCGGAAGGTAGTGATGTGCCCACCAATAAAATGTAATGGGTTTTCCTGTCTTTTTGATTTTTATTGTTAAATTGTAAATTGTTCTTGTTTCATCAGTCATTACTGCAATGTTTTTCTCTTATACAGCATCCCTCATCCGTGGCAATCGCAGGAACTGTGCTCTGTTCTCTGATAATCTAGACTGGCTAGTCAGTAAGTTAGATCGACTGGAGGCTTCCTCAGGTATGTTTCTGATGTAATAATTCTAACAAGCTTAGGTACGCTTTGCCGATGGCTTGTTCTGGTTTTAATAAAGGATTTTCTGCAATTTTGATATATAGAATATGTTTGCTCAAAGGTTTTGGCCTGGAAATCACCTCAGAAATACCTTCCACCAACTGTGCTAACTTAATTTCATGGTAATGCTCTTTACAGTTTTAAATGGTCTGTGCGGAATTGTCTGCATTAGACCGTTGTAACTTCAATGATATTCCTCCATATCAACTTTAAAATCTAGGAACCTGGTTTTAGTTTGCTCTGTTCGGTGGGAGTGGAGCAATAGCAGGCTGTAGTGTATCCATCTTTCAATAGCTGCACATGCCATTTTCCTGGGTTTTCTAATTGTTAGTCTATTAATGGAAGCCTTTTTTCAGTATGTTAATTGGAGTTCTGTAACATAAACAGGAAGCAACACAATTTTTAAGGTGCCAACAGATGTTGCATTTTGTTCCATGTTAGCATTCCCAAAAGGTTGTCTTCATTCAGCTGGTGGGGTGCCTCTTGCAGAGTAATGCAGTATGATGTATATGTCATAATGACATCAGCAGGTACACAGTAGAGCATGCCTAACAATGTAAATCAAATGAGTTTTGCAGAGACCTATCATCACTCCACTCTTAGGTAGAGACAGATAGTTAGCTGAAGAGATCAAAATAGGATTCAAGCGTGTAACCAAACCACACCATCTGCAAGTTCTGAAACAGTAATAGTAGCTTGTCAAAATTGTAGAATTATGATATAGTATGGGCCTGAATCTACCCAGGCCTTTGGAGGCAGGATCAGAAACGAATTTGGTAAATAACATGTTGGGCCCACCACTGAAATGGATTCAGAATTGGCTGACCCTTAGAAGACAAAGGGTGGTAGTGGACGGAAAATATTCAAATGGTGCTCAGTCAGGAGTGGTGTACCACAAGGATCTGTTCTGGGTCCTCTTCTATTTGTGATTTTTGTAAATGATTTGGATGTAGGAGTGGAACGGTGGATTAGTAAGTTCGTGGACGATACAAAGGTGGGTCGAGTTGTGGATAGTGTGGAGGGTTGTTCTAGGTTACAAAGGAACATTGATAAGATGCAGAGCTGGGCTGAGAAGTGGCAGACGGAGTTTAACCCTGAAAAGTGTGAGGTGATTCATTTTGGAAGGACAAAGTTGAAAGCAGAATACAGGGTTAACGGAAAGATTCTTAGCAGTGTGGAGGAGCAGAGGGATCTTGGGGTTCATGTCCACAGTTCCCTGAAAGCTGCCACCCAGGTGGATAGAGTTGTTAAGAAGGCATATGGTGTGTTAGCTTTCATTAATAGAGGGATTGAGTTCAAGAGCCGTGCAGTTATGCTCCAGCTATACAAAAGCCTGGTTCGGCCACATCTGGAGTATTGTGTCCAGTTCTGGTCACCTCATTACAGGGAAGACGTGGAAGCGTTGAAAAAGGTTACGAAGGAGATTTACCAGGATGTTGCCTGGAATGGAGGGAAGGTCTTACAAGGAAAGGTTGAGAGAGCTAGGGCTTTTCTCTTTAGAACGAGGAAGGATGAGATGTGACTTGATAGAGGTGTACAAAATGATCAGAGGTATAGACAGAGTAGACAGCCAGAGACTTTTTCCTAGGGTGGAGGTAGCTGTTACGAGGGGACATAGTTTTAAAGTGAGTGGAAGTAGATATAGGGGAGACGTCAGAGGTAGGTTCTTTTACTCGGAGAGTGGTAGGGATGTGGAATGCATTGCCGGAGAGGGTAGTGGAGTAGGCCTCATTAGGGGCATTTAAGCGGCTATTAGATACACACAAGGATGATAGTATAAGGTAGGGGTGGAGGTTAGATAGACCTTAGGTTTAGGGTAAAAGTTCGGCAGAAATTCGTGGAGCGAAGGGCCTGTACTGTGCTGTACTGTTCTATGTTCTATGAAGTTGGGGTCAATATGGCAGAGGCTACCTGGACGTTAGCCTGTTGTGCTTATTAATGGAGCAGTTCAGGGAATGTTGATGGGATCTAACTAATAGTGGATGGATCTCCTACTGAGACCAGTAGCTGAAATTGGCGTTCCACAAGCTGTTGTGTGGGGTGCCAGACAGACTTTGCTGCAGACCCTTCATTTGGGCCTCCCACTTCCCTTGAAGTAATTGGAAAATAAGGGGTCTCCTGTTTAACGTGGAAATCAGAATAGTGAAGGCAGTGTCTCTATTTATAAAAAAGAGGTAGGTAGATTTTTCAGTAACAAGGGAGTGAAAAGGTATGGCGGTGGCAATGAGGTTGGGGGCAGGGGAGTGGAGGGAGTAGGCGGAAATGTGGAGGCAAGGCCATAATCAGATAAGCCATAATCTTAATGAATGGTACACTTCACATTTGGTACACTCCACTCTTTAATTGACTACACATTTGCTTGCCTCTGTGATGATTATGACCAGCGTCTCATCATGGCCACTTACGGATTTCAGGTCACAACCCAGCAGAAAGATTTGGCCATATGGTGTCAGAGGCAAAGCTTCAAACTGTTGGGAAATTGGGATCAATTTTGTGGCAGAACAGACTTTTACAAGGTAGATGGGTTGTATGTAAACAGTGCAGAGCCTAGATCAGTATCCTTGTGGAAAGGATAACTATTGTGTATTTGGTAAGTATGGTGGAATGACCCTTTAAGAGTCCAATCACATGATGTTGTTATTGTTGATGTCATCAGCCATTTTGGAGGGAAACTGCTCAATCTAGCCTTGCTGCCTGCAGAGTGAACAACTTGTATAATAATAGAGCTTTTGCTGATTTTAAGCACTTTGGCCTCCTTTCTTTCCTGAAGTGTAACGAAAAGAAAACTGGCAATAGGAATAAATCTGCTTTGAAATCCACCCGATGAATCTACAGATTCATCAAAAATGAAAAAATGTGCTCCTCCCGCAGATCTTGGAGGCACTTTGATTTTAAAAAAAGACAAGAAATCAAAATATGACATTGCATCAAAGCAGTACAGTCAATTTAAAAAAAAAAAAAATTCACCCTAGGGAAGAGGTAAGCAGTGCAAAAGAAGCTTGTCGCATGCTCTACCCTGAATGAACACTGCAGTAACAAGTACCCTCCATGGAGGGAAATGTTTTGAGCTAGGGGTATAAACTCAAAAGAAAATGGCAGCCTCAGGAACACCTTGTTTTAAAGAGGAAGAAGCAAGGTTGTGCTAAGATTTTTGTGGTATATCATGCTATGCAGACCTTTCCATTTTAAATTAAAATAATAATAAACGGCAGGAAATTTGACACTGTGGGACTGTATTTTGAAAATACAAAGAGCTGTAACACCACAGAGATTCCGTTATTATTTAGTTCTGGCTAACAAAATTTGAGGCAAATATAAGGTTCATGTGTTCTTAAGTTTCATGGAGGGGTTTGTGGTAGAAGCTATCAACCTCCTGAGGTGTCTGGTATAGTTAGAGAAGCCAGGTTCCAAAACTTATGAAGGAATAGGAGGAATTCTAGCATTTTTCACCAAAACCATTGTGATTGCTGAAAGGTTCAGATTCCACAAATGCAACCAGCATGATGGTGAATATATCTCCCAGTTTGCAGCAATTTTAAAGAAGTAGCAGAATTTTATGGTTTAAGATGTGAAGCAATCCAGAAGATATTACTGATGGAAAAATAGAACTAGCAGCTAAGGAAGCTGAACAGCATGAGAGTTCACAAAATGGCAACTGTCAAATGAGCACCATGCAGACTCACTATAACCATTGTGAAAAACATATCATGAGCAGCAAATTGCTGCAGCAACAAATCTATAAAGAAACTGCAGCAAAAAAGGGCACTTTGAACTAGCATGTTTGAGGAAGAAACATGAATAATGTACAACAAATGTACAAAAACCAAAGAGTAGGAAGAAAATCTAAACGGTACATAAAGGGCATGAGTAAAGCCCAAACTCTCAGTCCGAAGAGGAACTGTTAGTAAACATATTGACCATTGCTGGTGACACCAACTGATACTAGGTCACTCCCTTACTTGGTGCACACTGGAGTGGTGATTTCATTGACACTGAAAATGTGCCTCAGACACAGCAGAATCACATTGTACTAAGACTCTAAAAATCATACCAAGTATGTATATGGGCAAAGTGGTGCCTTTTTTAAGAGGTTATAACAATGTGAATATTTAGTTATATGGTCAGTCTGAAGATTTGTCTTAACTTGTTTTCAATGGAAATCTTCCAGCTTACTGGAAAGAACACTGTTCTGAGATTGATCTGTCACAAGTTCTAAAGAAACATGCTACTGTTTTTAATGGGGATCTGGGAAGCCTGGAAAAGATCTGTCAAATTGAAAATTAAATCAGTGTCTTATGCCATCAGGCCGAAGATCAAGGTAGAAATCAAAACATACAAGAAGTAAGAATTGAACTAGGATGGCACTTTACTAAGCTGTACAGTTAATCTGCTGAACAAAATCAACAGTGACCGCTACATCCAGGACATTGGTAATGCACAATCAGGAGCTCACCTGAAAGTTACAACCTTCCTTTATGGTCTTAAACCAAAAGCTTAAGCATCAAAAAGCTAAAGGGGATAATACTGTCCTCCTGCATTGTGAAATTAACAGCTTAGGTACAGCAGTAGACGGACAAAGGGAAGCATAGTGCCAAATGTGAAATGAAGCAAAAAGGATCCATCATTGAGCTGGTTATTCACAAACTTCTACCAGAAGATAATGCGAGATGTGCATGTGACATTAACTCTCAATAAACCAGTGCTTCCTTGAAAGTTAATGCCCCTCCGGAAGTTTTTAAACAAGTGCTTCAGAACAACGAAGCTGATGAAGGGAGCACCGCCCCTCTACACAGTGAGCTTTCTAAGCTTGATCCTCCCATGCAGTGCGGAAATAAGACAACTTGCTTCAGCCCAGTGACAAGTATGAAGTAAAGCAAGTGGGTTCTATAGTTGAACTGTCTGTATGCAATCTAAAACCAGATGATGCAGGAGAATATACCTGTGATTTCAGGAGATCAACTGACCACAGCTTCTCTTAAAGTAAAAGAAAAGTTAGCGATCTACATGAAATCCTTGAATGACATTGTTGGGAATGACAGAGGAATGATCACCCTGGATGTGAAGTATCGAAGGCAAAGTCATTCACACCTGGAAAAAGATGATGTGGTTCTTGTTTCAAGTGGAATGCTGGAAAAACAATTTGTCTTAGTTAATGACCTGAATAAAAATGATGCTGGACTGTATGTTTGTGACACAGGCATCCACAAAGCAACAATTAAAGTCGCCATTCCAAGATCTGAACATTGGAATCACAAATGGCTAAAGAGTACAGAGATTAAAGAAGGTGAAAATGGATCTTTTAATACATACATCCTCATGAAAGCTTTGGTGAATATTACTGAGCTGTAAATGGGCTGTTATTTAGAAGACAATAAACAACATTTAATATTGGCTGAAAATACATCTTTAACATTAAGGAGACATCTCTTTCAGATGTTTGAGAAGTAATTTTCCATGTGTGAAATCTCAGCTTGAAAGCCTCATCAATTTTTAAAGAAAATCCAGCAGAAATCATCAAAACAATTTAAAAACCTGGCCGTAGTAGGTGAAGCAATTACACTGAGATGAAATCTCTAAGCCTGATTCTTTAGTGAACAAGCTTAAGGATGACAAATGAAATAGAAAAAGCCATACATATGAAATATCTCCATAAACTGTAAACAAATTGATATTATTTCAAGTCACTACAAAGGATTCAGGGAGAGTATGCAAATGAAACAGAGACTTCTAAGACCAGAGTCACTGTCATGAAATCATAGAATGTTACAGTATATTGTAAATGAGGTGCTAAATCAATTTACCAAAGAATTACACACCATGGAAACCAAAGAGAACGGAACTGGTGTTTTTGAAATTGAATAGTAAAGCTAACACAAGTTTGTATAGAGAAAAGGAAATAGCCAGAAAAGCCAATAAGAAAAATAAATAAGATGCCTGAGGTGTCTGACAGCCATACAGGAATTGATATCCTCCAGAATGTCTTACCCATTGACTGTTGTATACCTGATTGCAAATATTGTGAATGTTTTCATTGCACGATCTTCTGATATAAAGCAGGAGTGATGTGCATTTAAGTATGTAGACTGTCACTTTGAGTCTAATCACATGACATCATGATGTCATCAACCCTTTTGGAAGGAACTGGCTCATTGTAATCTTACTAGCTACAGAGTGAGCACATTGTGTAATAAAGGTCTTGTTAAATGCTTTAGTTTCCTATCCTTGAAATCTAACGTCTCGATGGCTGGGTTGTATCTAAACAAAGCAGAGCTGAGATCAGTATCCTTGTGGAAAGGTGAACCACCACCAGCTTGAGGAAAAGCTGAAACAAATTGAACGGCAGACTGGGAGACAGTATTAGTAATAAAACTGGTGGGACCATTGTAAAGAAAATGAAGAGATCTAAGTTAGACTCGGCGTGCATTTGTTCAGATAGAGAACTGTAGTTAATAATGAGCTACAGGGCCAAATAGTCACACAGGAGCATTATAGAGTGAGGATTACGTAACGAAGATCAGATGTTTACTATTCAGGAAGGAAAAGGGTGCATTTCTGCAGATTGCTGTGTAATATCTGAGATTGATTGAAAATTTATGTTAATGTCACGCTGCTATAGGTATCCTGGAAGTGCTGTACTGTGTTTTGATTGAAAGTCCTGAGGTTCTGAACATCATAACAGAAAATCACATCAAATCAATCATCTCTCTGTTGGACAAACATGGACGAAATCATAAGGTATGTATGTTAATGAAGGCTGGTAATGCAGGAGGGTGTTAAAATGAGGAATACCTTCATTCTTGAAATCTTGGGCTACTTTAGAATTTGCACTTGTCCTTATCCTCTAACTCTGCAATTTAGCTTTCAAAAATGTCTTTGGATCTCAAGTAAAAGTTTTGAGATTTTGTTTTGTACTTTTCATAGGTGCTGGATGTACTGCGCTCTCTTTGTGTCTGCAATGGTGTGGCTGTACGATCAAACCAAAATCTTATTACGGAGAATTTACTTCCAGGTCGTGATCTGCTGCTGCAAACGAAAATGATTAACTATGTCACAAGGTACAACAATCAGTAGCTCACAACATTGCTAAACTTGTACACTGCTTCAATCAATATTCCTGGTGTTTCTTTAAATCCACCGTATCTTTATTGCTTCATTTCAAGATAAATGAATGTATTAAGTTAGTGGCATGCACTGTAATTTTGGAAGTGAGGGTGTATTTTGAAGAAATATGTAAATCTGTCAGGTTTCTAGCCCATAGAGAGAATGTAATTACTCACTAAGAGGAATAGATATGGAACATTTATTTTTCTGTAGAAGTAAAGCAGTTTTCCATTTTTGCTTTATCTCATCTTGCATTTGAAATTTATCAAATTATATTCCAATAATCAAAACTGTAGTTAACCCTTTTCAATCTTTTTTTTAAAATTTACAGCATGAGGCCTAATATCTTTGTGGGTACATGTGAAGGTTCTACACAATACAAGAAATGGTACTTTGAATTGATAGTGGATTATGTTGACCCATTTTTAATGCCACAGCCTGTTCATCTGCGTGTGGGTTGGGCTTTAACAGATGGTTACAGCCCTTACCCAGGAGGAGGTGAGGGCTGGGGAAGTAATGGAGTTGGAGATGATTTGTATTCCTATGGTTTTGATGGACTTCATCTGTGGTCAGGTCAGTGATGTTTCTGTTCCTAAGGCTCTGTTACTCATTACTGATAAAACTGCTGTTCTTAAGTTTGACTCTCTTACTCCGTCATACTGTCATTGTCATGACAGAATGCTAATGTTCGGAATGGATAATATTTGTGTGTGCTCAGCTCCCTTGCCCTCCACCCCATGGCTGCCTCTTTACCATCCACCCCCTTCCCACTTAGAATCATTGGTTCCCTGCCTACCTCATCGCTCAAATGTCCCAATCCCTCCCTCTGAAATCAGTTTCTCAACTACCCCCTTCTCCATTCCTGCCCGTCCTGACCCTTGCCTTCATTTGAAAGCTTCAATTGAATCTACTGTCAGATAGTACGTTCCAGATCCTAACAACTTGCTAAGTAAAAATATATTTCCTCGTATCACCGTTGTACTTCTGGCCAGCCTCTCTGGTTCCTGACTTCTCGACGTTTTTTCGACAGAAACAGTTTTGCTTTACCTACTCTGCCCAAAGTATGTCTTGAACACGTACCAAATCACTTCTTGCTCTTCTCTTCAAAAACAGCCCCAGTTTTTTTCAATCTCTCCAATGTCATCATATCCGTCCTAAGGTGTCTTGATAAGAATTAGACATAGTTCACTCTCAACTGGATTACTAATGTTTTTTTTTTACAGATTTATCAGATCTTGCTTGCTCTTGTACTCTCAGCTCCTATTTATAAATTTCAGGACCCCATACATTTTATTAACCACTTTCTTCACCTGCCTTGCCACTTCAATCATTCATCTCCTGCATTACCTTTTAAAATTGTATCCTTTATTTGATATTGCCTCTCCTCATTCTTCCTGTCAAAATGAATCCTTTTACACCTCTGCATTAGGTTTTATCTGCCATTTATCTGTCCCTTTCACCAATCTCTACATGTCCTCTTAATGTCACTATCCTCATTGTTCACAATGTTTCAAGCTTTGTATCATCCCCAACTTTTGAAATTGTGACTTGTACATCCAAATCTCGGTCATTAGTATAGATCAAGACAAGCAGTAGTTCTAACACTGGTCCCTGGGGAACACAACTTTATACCTGCCTCCAGTCTGAAAAATGACTTTGCCACTATTCACCAATACCTGTCATTTAGTCAGTTTGTATCCATGCTGCTCAGTATTTTTATAGTACAGCTAGAAAATATTCACCCTTAGACTGTGATCTATATGCAAAAATTCAGTTGAAGTATTTTGACATCAGCAAATTTGACTTTTTTCTTGATTTCTGTGTATAGGACATATTGTCAAGACAGTTGCTTCATCTGATGCACACGTACTTACCGCTGATGATGTTGTTAGCTGCTGTCTTGATTTGAGTGTCCCAAGTATCTCCTTTCGGATTAATGGCCATCCTGTGCAAGGCATGTTTGAAAACTTTAACATTGATGGCCTCTTCTTCCCTGTGGTTAGCTTCTCTGCAGGAGTTAGGTGGGTGCTTTTACATGGTTCTTCTGTTGTGCTTTTGTAATAAACTATCTATTTTATGTTTTAAGACTAGGAAAGTAGAAACATTCTTTTTAGTGCCATCTCAATGTATTTTTCTTGCTGTAAATTTAGAAACACTTAAATATATTTAAGTACAAAATCTTCAGTTTCCTGTTCGGAAGGTATTTATAAGAAACCATTGCTTTGAAATTCATGTTATCAAATGTTTTTAATAATCTGATTATAATCACAGATTTTAATTTCCGAAAGCACTGATAGCCGGATTAAAGTGGAGGGTTTTTTGAATGCTGACATATTTTGTTTCAGTCTGGATCAATGTCTTCTCTTGATGGCTGCCAGTTCTTAATTGGACTATACATATTTACACTCTTGCCTATCATGTTAATGTACTTGTTTTATATTTTAATGTTACTAATTGTAGCCCATGAAATTTAGGAAAGCATACAGTACCTCTCTTTTCTTTAACTGCAATACCCTCCATCAAATATGTGGAACTGCAGACAAAATCTTAAAACTCAGTCCAATAGTCATGACTAGAATGATTTTTCATTTAAAAAAAAAAAAAAAATCACTGTTTTCTACTGCCATCTGTAATAGCTGTTGAACCAAAGATCGTGGATTGAAGCCCCATTTTAGAGATGAGAGCATAAAATCTGAGTTGGTCCTTCAGTTCATTTAAGGTGCTGTCTTTTGGATGAAAATTTAAATTGAGACTACACTTCTCCCTCGGATGGATATAGCAAATCCCACAACACTATTTAAAAGAAAGGCAGTGGAGTTCAATATTTATCCCTCAACCTACATTACTGAATTGTTATCACGTTGTGGCATCTTGTGCAAATTGGCTGTCATGTACCTTACATTGCAGTGGTAACATTTCACTGGTGCCTCAATGGCTGTAAAGTGCTTTGGGATGTTCTGAGGTTGTGAAAGGTGTTACGTAAATATAAGACATTTCTGAAATATTTAAAAAATCACTTGTATGCTCATTACATTTAAGCATCTACTAAGTATTATGGATGGAAAATCAGAATTGAGAAATTTAGAAACCTGTTGCCCAGTAGAACTGGCAGAGAATGATTTGTTGTGCCATATTTAGTCAACTAGTCAGAATGCCAGCCAGAGCTACATTCTGTAACTAGTATCAGCTGACACCCCTGCAAAAAAGGGACATAGGCAAGTTTTATGTTTATCTTTTATAAGCTCACAGAACTAGCTGAGGCTGCTGCTACTCCAAGGTGCTCCCCCTAAAAGATCGTCCTCCGCTTCCATCTGAGCCAAAGGGCTGTCCTTAGTTTCTGATTATTCACCTCCAGCCTTATGGCGAGATATTAATGAGACCTGACCCTAAAAATGGATTTGGCATTGAGGATGAATTAAATCATGCCAGTCTGAGCTTTCATTGCAGTACTCCGGTGATGGATGACTTCTGTTTGTGCTGCATGGAAACTGTGATATTAGCTATCAGAATCCGCTCGTTTTAGCAGGGTCAACAAATGTGTACATGCGTTGGTCACCATTGCCGAGCTAGAACAGATGTGTTCTTAGCGCAGTCATGTGCCAGACTCCTGCTGATGTTTAATGCAAGCTGTCAGATTTTTTCCAGTGCACAAGCATTTTATTATGTCAAACCATCAAGGTTCTTGTGTAGTCTGACCCCTTCTCTCTCCCCATTGATATCCTTTGGAACAACCCTCTGACTAAGCTGGCACCTGTGCTTTGCTTGCCTTATTAGCACACTCGTGCTCAGTAGCTTACTATGTGGTACCCCATTTTCTTTCTTCTCTTCTAAGTGTGTATAATGCCAGTATCTGAGTTGCTGGCTGAATATGAAATTAATTGTTGTACCTTCATCATTACCCTTTTCACGGTCTGTCTTCACTACAATATCAGAAAGGCAAAAAGGAAAGGTTAAGTTTGGGGATTGGAAAGCGGAGGGGTGTGAAAGCGGATATTGTCAGCCTTGGAGATAGTAGGAACTGCCGACGCTAGAGTCTGAGGTAACAAGGTGTAGAGCTGGATGAACACATCAGGCCAGGCAGCATCAGAGGAGCAGGAAAGCTGACATTTCGGGTCTGGA